TGGCCATGGAAAATTTTGTACCGTATTTAAGGTGTACTTTAATCCTTTAATTTTCTTTAAAAATCGAGTGTGCCTTATGTATTAATCCTGGTTGTGTTTACTGACCTCAGACCGATTTTATGTGGTACACGGCGCTCAAAAATCTGTCAAAATGTTTTAGTACGACTTTGGTAAGATACAAAGTCAAACCGCTTGATGGATTGTCGGAGCATTTCCACGACTGTAGTCAGAGTAAAAGGTCATTCCACCTCAATTCACCCAAAAATTGCAGTTTGAACATCACATTGACCAACTGCAAATTGGTGGTAATTGGTGTGTGGGTAAGTCATAGCCAAGAAATCTCTAATTTTATGATCGGAGTAACAGTTGCTGAGATTTCACAATTGATTTAATTTTTTTTGCGTGGTCGCCGAATTTCAAACTGAAGAAATGAGAACTGACAAAAATGAAGGTGTCAAAACTGGAGGGGTTTTCTTTTCCATATTTCAAGAAATTGGGATAGAATCAAGACCTGCCCTCAATCCCTCTTAAAATAATGTGTAAAATGCACATAGACACAGAGAGGCCACATGTTTGCACTGCACTTACAAATGTTTGTTCTCTAATTATTCTATGACCTCTTATCTTACCTCTTAGTCATTTATGATCATCTGTATTGGTTCCTCCTTTCTGTATCTGTGTTGTGATAACAGTGTCCTGGTTTCATGGATATAATCCAAAACATAGACACGTGTGCCACAAGGATCTGCTGGTCACACCCTGTTAACATCTTACCCACAAAAACCCATTTAAAGTTCTTAGTTGCTTCTTTAAAACACAGGATGAACATAGTCATACTTTCTATGACTTTCGAACATAGTCATACTTTCAACTGGACGTATTTTTAGTTTTTTTGAGGTTTTTTCGAGGGTGTGATGGGTTAATCGAGGGGGCACACTGCATATTTTGCACACCGGCTGCTATAAATCTGGGAATTTATGACCCGACCACAGACAAGCCATGTTACTAGAATGCTAGTTAGCTAGTTATTTTATTTATTTATTTATTTATTGGATCCTCATTAGTCTTTACTGGGGTAAAGTCTATTCTTCCTGAGATCACCGCGCTCAGGTGATGTTACCTGTGGTTCTGTTGTCTGTGTTCACGCACTAAATGTTAAAAATGTAAGGCACACATGCTTCCATAATAATATCAAATATACAAGATGGTGCAGAGTCTCAGGTCTGATCTGATTCTGATCTGGTTCCTGTTTTGTCCAGTTCATTAAGTTACACATTCAAAGACCAAACTGTTTTGTGAAAGTCAAGATTTTTCAACAATGATGGTTCATGGTTAGAAAAGTTAATAAAATTAAAGTTTTGGACATTTGATTTTTCACACCCAAATATCAGCCCAAATACTACACACTGAAATCGTTTACAATCTGATCCTGCACACATCCTGGATCTTATTCTTTGCTCTTTGTTCATTTCATAAAGTTTTATAGAAGTATAGGATCAGGACTCGGTATCGGCAGATGCTCAAAATCAAATGACTCGGACTCGGGGGCAAAAAAAACATGATCGGGACATTCCTAATAATTTACAATAAAATGTTCCATTATAATAACAAAAGTCCACACATAAGTTCATACAGTTCTGTTCCATATTGTACTATACACCAAGTTTCATCAAAATTTGACAAATTAGGGTTTAACTCATTGGGTGAACTGAGGTGGACTGACCCTAATCCACATTCACCAAGGCAGGGAGGCAACACGGAGCGAGTTACTCCACGATCTGCCCATGGATTCTGGACACCTGGGCTCAAGTGTCGTCCGAGCTTTCACGAAGGCCGAACCATCACTGAACAGCGAAGTAACAGGGACGAGACCGACTCTGGGCTCGATGCCGAAATCGCCCAAAACTCAGACGCCGAAGATGAAGAATTTGCTGGATTTGTAGAAGAGGAATGAACTGAAAAAGTGAGTGTATTGTTTTGTATTTTATGTGTTACAACTGAACAACGTTGAGAGTTTTTCTGAATGAGTCGAATAAAGTTTGACTGTTTTGTTTCGCTTAATGCGCCTTATGTATGAAAACAGACGAGAGAATTCATTTACAGAGAACCTGCGTGTGTCCCTGATCCACTTCCAGAGAGTCGGACCGCCGACAGAGCGCCATCGTACAGTTGGCACGTTTTCAAGTCGTTCACATTAAGACACGTGCCGGAAAAGTGTTGCGCACAGAGCTGTAATCAGCAGAGAGATAAAGACACGGGTTCAGTTGTATCGGTTCCCGGGTGAAGCTGTCAGACGAGTGGAGCTGCCATAAATCGAGGAGTTTATGACCCGACCACAGACGAGCCGGCAAAAGGAGGTGAAGTGCGGCAGCCGTCAAAACACTGCAGACTTTATAGCGAGCACTTTATCGGAGGTCAGAAATCATCAACTAATCCAGTTCTAGAACAGAGCAAAAGTGTGTGTCATTTGTTCATTCGTTTTTCAATATAAAACCAAAAATAAGAAAACGAAACAACAACTGTTTTCCTCATCGTTTGTCTCCAAAACCAAAATGAAAAAACGGATAATGATTCGTTTTTTTCAGTTTTTGATTTTGTGTTTAAAGGAATAATGGAAAAAAAACGGACCGGGACTGAGACCAGGACTTAGACCGGGACCAGACAAGGACTGAGATCAGGATTGAGACTGGGGAACAGGACCAGGACTGAGACCGGGACTGTAATCGGGACCAGTTCAGGACTGAGACCGAGAGCAGACTGAGACTGAGACTAGGACCAGACCAGGACTTAAAATGGCTTAGACCTGGTTTAGTCCTAGTTCAGTTCCTTTTTAGCCTAGTTTAGTCCTGGTTTGGACCTAGTTTAGGCCTGGTTTAGACCTGGTTTAGAACTGGTTTAGTCCTGGTTTAGACCTGGTTTAGTCCTAGTTCAGTTCCTTTTTAGTTCTAGTTTAGTTCAGGTTTAGTCCTAGTTCAGTTCCTTTTTAGTCCTAGTTTAGTCCTGGTTTAGTCCTAGTTCAGTTCCTTTTTAGTCCTAGTTTAGTCCTGGTTTAGACCTAGTTTAGACCTGGTTTAGACCTGGTTTAGTCCTAGTTCAGTTTCCTTTTTAGTTCTAGTTTAGTTCAGGTTTAGTCCTGGTTCAGTTGTTTTTTAGTCCTGGTTTAGACCTGGTTTAGTTCTGGTTTAGTCCTGGTTCAGTTCTTTTTTAGACCTGTTTTAGTCCTGGTTTAGACCTGGTTTAGTCCTGGTTTAGACGTGGTTTAGACCTGGTCTAGTATTGGTTTAGTCCTGGTTTAGTCCTGATTTAGAGGTGGTTTAGACCTGGTTTAGTTCTGGTTTAGACCTGGTTTAGACCTGGTGTAGTTCTGGTTTAGGTTTAAATGAGACAGAGTTTTAAATACTTGCTGAGGTTTTCCAGATTAACAGGTTGTGCTTTAGTAAAATATTGCAGTGGTGATATCTCATGGACTTTTTGAGTTACAGGTCAGATCTGTGGAGAGGAGACGCCGCTCACAGTCAGAATGTCTGTTTTTCTAGGTATTTTTGAGCAATAAAACCACCTGTAACTGAATAAAAGTAAAATAGAAACAGAAACAAACAGGCGACGCACCGCCAGCCAAAAGGTTCCACAGTGCGCCTTTAACGGGACAGAATGGGACGTTACCTGAGTTTTATTTGCAGGCTCGATCTGCGTATCCCGAGATCATTCCAGGGTATTTGGACACCGCTGTGGGCTTTCCGCTCTTGAGGAAGCAGGAATATTTTCTGTGGGAGAGAAATAACTCAGGATATGTGACCACGCTGCTGCTTGTCACGATTAAATGTTCCACAATTATGAACAACGGCCCTGTTTTTATTATTATTATTGTTATTATTATTAATTTATATATATATTTTTTGTGGTTCTTTTGAGACACTTTATTGAGCTGGTGTTAACTGAAAATCAATTTAACAAACGTGTCAGCAACATACCAACCCCTGCCCTGCTTTTATTACTAATATACTATAAATAAATTCATTAATTTGGCCCCAAACTCTGGAACACTGGAACAGCCCCCACAGTGGAGAGTTTTAAGTCTCATCTTAAGACAGACTTTTATACTATGGCTTTTTAACACCGCGTGGGTCCTCTGTGTATTTTATTTATTTATTTTTTATATATTTTATTTTTTTAGTACTGCTTTTATGTGTTGATGATATTTTTGTTCATTCATTTTGTTATTATTATTTTATTTAAAAAAAAAATTGTACTGCTGTTATGTATTGATTTTTATTATTTTTGTTCATTCATTTTGTTATTATTATTTTATTTATTTATTTTATTTTTTAGTACCACTTTTATGTATTGATGATATTTTTGTTCATTAATTTTATTATTATTTTGTCTATTTATTTATTTTATTTTATTTTTTAATACTGCTTTTATGTATTGATTTTATTATTTTTGCTCATTGATTTTATTATTATTATTTTATTTATTTAATTTATTTTTTCAGTACTGCTTTTATGCATTGATTTTATTATTTTTGCTCATTGATTTTATTATTATTATTTTATTTATTTTAATTTATTTTTTCAGTACTGCTTTTATGTATTGATTTTATTATTTTTGCTCATTGATTTTATTATTATTATTTTATTTATTTAATTTATTTTTTTCAGTACTGCTTTTATGTATTGATTTTATTATTTTTGCTCATTGATTTTATTATTATTATTTTATTTATTTATTTATTTACATTTTTTTAGTACTGATTGATTTTATTATTTTTGCTCATTAATTATTATTATTATTATTATTATTATTATTTTATTGATGGATTCTATTAGTTTCCTCGTGGTTGAAACGTAATTCTGCTGATTTATTTATTTATTTATTTTCCAAGTAAAATCTTTTAAACTGCTGTGTGAAGCACTTTGGAAACTGTTTTGTTTATAAAATGTGCTATACAAATAAACTTGGACTGGATTAATTGTGCACTACACAGCTTTTCTGGTGATGGGGTCCACCACCTGCTTGTCTCTAGACCTCCAACCAAAAAGTTACACAGTGCAACTTTAAGTACAATACTGCCCCACACAGGCAAAAGAGATTAACTCAGCAGAGTGTGAAACAAATAAAAATGACTTCAAAGTTTCTGTTTTGTCAATCAATCAATCAATCAAACTTTATTTGTCTAGCACTTTTCATAGATTTGAAAAGTAACACAAAGAGCTTCACATACAACAGAAAAATGAGAATAATTAAAAACACCAGTGTAAGGAGACTTTTACCTACCGGACGTCCGCTGTCCACTGGTCGCTGAGGTAGGTGTAGAAGGTGCAGGCCGAGTTCTGGTTGCACTTCTGCTCACACGCCTGAACACTGGGGACGTCTTTCAGGACCTTGTAGGCTCCTTTCTGCATGTTCACGCCCGGTTGAGGCCCACACTTTGGAGCTGCAAAACACAAGAGGAGTTTGTTGGGACTGAACTTCTGTACCACTTCATCAGGCTTTTATCTCGAGCTCGGTTGCTCAGTTCAGTTTTCACACCGAACTGTCACGGCAGTCGACTTAAAGGTTGTATGGAGGATTTTTTTTTAGTTTCAAACTGTCAGTGAAAGATTAAAATATCATTACAGAGACACAGCAGCTTTGTAATTATGATGACCAAAAAAAAAAAGAAAGAAAATCTATCAACTGTGGACGTGTTGAGGCCAGATAAACATCAGCCAATAGAAAACGAGGCTCCCTTATTTTCTATTGGCTGTCAATCTAACTCCCTAGTATAACTGACATGTCGGAGCGCGGGGATTACGTGGTTTACGCAGCGGTTCTTAGAGGCTTTTTCGAACTGTCGCTTCCTTGCATTTCGCACAAAGTTTGTCGCGACGGCGCACGAGAATCCACGACCGGTTCGCCGCGAAAGAAAGTCCGTTTTTGAGGTCGCTGAAAGAAGAAGAGAAGAGGAAAAGGAGCGAAGACAAACTGAGGTGATTCTTGGAGATCTCGTCCAGCGATGGCACGACCGAAGCAGACGAAGGGTCTAAAACCTGACGCGTCGGTCGCTGAATTACTTCTAGACAGGAAACTTCAACAGTAATTCTGAATGCGCACAAGGACTGTCGCTGTATTTCTCTTCCCTTAAAAAAATCCTCTATACAACCTTTAATATTTAGGCCCGGGCACGTTAATGCGTTAATTTTGCTTTAACTAATTCATTTATTATCGCTGACAATTATTATAAGTTTTTATTATTTATTTTTTTATTGTAAACGTTTGTTGCTCACTGGATTTCATTTTGAAAAGGTGCATCGTGTTCGAGCCTAGAATGTTTCTTACTGCTGCGGTGCTCACAGAAAACAGAGAGAAAGAAAGACAGAAGGAGAAACAAACATGGAGAAGGGTGAGGAACTTTTACATGGACATTTTCATTTTAAAGTTCTCAGACGATGTAGTCAACACAAAGTCATTTGTAAAACTGCAACACTGAACTGTCTCATCACCGGAGTTTCACGAGTCTGAAATATCACCTAAACCAGAGGTGTCAAACTCATTTTGGTTCGGGGTCGTGTCCACCTGACTCAGATCCCAAAGTGTCCGGATCAGAAAACTCATGTCATATAAACCCCAAAAATAACAATACGTTCAAATATTTGTGCAGAGAAACACAAATCTATTACAGAAATCTTTTTTCATTGATGAACTCTTTCTTTTACAAAATATTATAATATTATGAACAACCTGAAACTTTAAGAAAAATACAATTTCATCACAAAGTTTTAACATGAACTTGTCTGTAAACAGGAATAAGTCCATTTTTGTTGTAAAATCCTGCACTCGGCTCCACTTTTCTCATGTTGGACATTTTTCTGATGAGGGTGTCACGGTCAACAGTCAAAACGATCGTCCTTTAAGAGCGTTTGGAAAGAGACAAGTCTTCATTTGTGCTGCTCTGGTGGGAGGGGCCACGTACAGAGACGCTGGAGACGCTGCTGTGATAAACACCACAGAAAATTAACACCATTTTAATAAAAAATAGAATTATAAAAATATTTTTAATAGAAAATCAGCCGAGGGCCAGATTAAAGGTCTTGGAGGGCCGGATCTGGCAAACACACAAACACACAAACGTTCTAACGCACAAACATACAAACGCACAAACATTCTAACGCACAAACATACAAACGCACAAACATTCTAACGCACAAACATACAAACGCACAAACGTTCTAACGCACAAACACACAAACGCACAAACGTTCTAACGCACACAAACACACAAACGCACAAACACACAAACATACAAACGCACAAACGCACAAACACACAAACTCACAAACTCACAAACACACAAACGCACAAACGCACAAACACACAAACACAAACACACAAACACAAACACACAACACACAAACACACAAACACACAGAGCATGGGGATCAAGAGTTTTCAGAGGCGTCTCTGCTTCGTCCGTCGCTCTTCATCACAAACCCCCTTCCCCAGTCTCACATTTCGGTGCCAGTGACACATTCTTAATAATAATTATAATTATAATAATATTCTTGTATGTTTTAGCAACTGGCTTTGTGCAGAAAAAATTAATAAAAAAATCTAGGAATTGACAAACTGCACTGAAAGTGTTTTCTAGTTGTGTGTTTTCTAGTTGTGTGTTTTCTGGTTGTGTGTTTTCTGGTTGTGTGTTTTCTGGTTGTGTGTTTTCTGGTTGTGTGTTTTCTGGTTGTGTGTTTTTTAGTTGTGTGTTTTTTAGTTGTGTGTTCTGTTTTCTGTTACTGTTTTTGACTGAGTCTCATTTTTCTATCAAACAGGAAACATTAAAGCCCTGACAGTTCAAATACATTTCAGTTTTGTATTTGGTTTGATCAGATTTTTTTCCACTTGAGCTTTACACTGAATTCTTTACTTTCCTGCTGCTGATCACATGAACTTTAAACGTCAGATTCTAGGAATTGACAAACTGCACTGAAATTGGTTCTTTTTTTTTTGAGTGAGATTCTCCAAAGGAAGAAGAATAAACATGGACCTTACAGACTCGTGTCTGTTTGTACAACAGACGTGGCTCGTTTGTTTACATTTCCAATAAAAGTCACCAGTGTTGGGAAGTTGACTTTTCAAATGTAATCCCCTACAGATTACAGATTACATACACCAGAATGTAGTTTGTAACAGAATCCATTAAATTACTTCAAGTGAGTAATGTAATCTGATTACTTTGGATTACTTGACATTGTCTTGCTTTTTTAAAACAACATGAATGTAACGACCACATCCTGAAAATACATGTTTGTTTTCTTCAAATTGTCTGTTGAGCCCAAGTCTCCATGAACAGACTTTTGTTTTACTGTAGAGAAACAAAGACGAGGATCTGTTAACATAAGATGTTTTGTCTGCAAAAGAAAATAAAAATTCCAGTTTTAACCAGATTAAAAATATTCTTGATAGAAAAATGATTTTTATATGAGACACTGCTGCTTTAAAGTATGTCCACCTACTGTTAGTGTCATACTGTTTAGACCTGGTTTTAGTCCTGGTTTAGTCCTGGTTTAGTCCTGGTTTAGTCCTGGTTTAGACCTGGTTTAGTCCTGGTTTAGTCCTGGTTTTAATCCTGGTTTTAGTCCTGGTTTAGACCTGGTTTAGACCTGGTTTAGTCCTGGTTTAGTCCTGGTTTAGTCCTGGTTTTAATCCTGGTTTTAGTCCTGGTTTAGACCTGGGTTTAGATCTTCTTTAGTCCTGGTTTTGATCTCGTTTAGTCCTGGTTTAGATCTGGTTTTGTCCTGGTTTAGTCCTGGTTTAGTCCTGGTTTTAATCCTGGTTTTAGTCCTGGTTTAGACCTGGGTTTAGATCTTCTTTAGTCTTGGTTTAGACCTGGTTTAGTCTTGGTTTAGTCCTGGTTTAGTCCTGTTTTAGATCTTCTTTAGTCTTGGTTTAGACCTGGTTTGGACCTGGTTTAGTCCTGGTTTAGTCCTGGTTTTAGATCTCCTTTAGTCTTGGTTTAGACCTGGTTTAGTCTTGGTTTAGACCTGGTTTGGACTTGGTTTAGTCCCAGTTTAGTCGTGGTTTTAGATCTTCTTTAGTCCTGGTTTAGACCTGGTTTAGTCCTGGTTTAGTCCTGGTTTAGTCCTGGTTTAGTCTTGGGTCATCCCAAAATGTGAAAACAGGAAAATCCCGCCGTGTAATCCATTTATTTCAACAAAGTAACTGTAATCCAATTACCACTCACTGAAACAGTAACTGTAACTGAATACAGTTACTCTTATAATTTGTACTCTGATTACTTAACTCCAGTAGATGTAATCTGTTACTCTCCAACACTGAAAGTCACTATACGCTATTTTGAATTCATGAATTGCTTTTGAGTACAACATGTGATTAATCATGATTAATCACAGGAACTCATGTGATTAACACGATTCATATTTCTTATTTTTGCCCTAATAATATGACATCATTTACAACAAAAGATGTCTGTACCATTTGTATGTAGTAGTGTCCTCCTGTGCACTACTGATGCTTTGTAGTGACACCATGTAGGGGGGTTCTACATGTGTCCCTATGATGGAATGCACACACCAGTGGCACAGTTCACACAGCAAACACTGCAAAAGAGTCTGAAGATTGTCTGAAAACTCAAGAGATGATACAAAACGGATTTTAACCAGCGCAGAAGGGCAGCGTGTGCAGTTCAGAGGACACACGGAAGGGACTGTTGGACTGTGTGAGATGAAACACCAGAGGAAGAGCGAGAACTTTCCTGTTGTGTTCACGTGGCGCCCCCTGGAGGCCGCTGTGACGCTGCAGGACACGGGAGGGACACTTTTAAAACCCTCTCCAGGCAGGTGTTGCAGATTTCCAACAGGTAAATTCCAATTACCGACTTACTCCACATTCATACGTTATGAGCCTTTTTTCCCATCCATGCTGATAAACTGTGTTGGGAGTAATGTATTATAAAAGTAATGTATTACAGTAATGCGTTGATTTTTGCTGTAACGCAGTAATGTTCGGCATTACAGGGGAAAAATTGTAATATTTTACTCGGTACAAATGTGAGTAACGCGCGTTACAATGCTTTTTTAACCTGGATTGAAGTGGTGGGTTTTTCTTCATAGAAATTCGCTAAAATCACCATGAAATCAGCAGCGGTGAAACGCCGGAGACGCGGCCGGATAAACCTTCAGGTAACCGCGGGCGAAAGGACCGACCCAGAACTCTACGCTGTTTAGACCTGGTTTAGACCTGGGTCACTTCTGGTTTAGACCTGGTTTAGACCTGGCTTACAGTCGTCCCTCGCTCTAACGCGATTCACTTTTCGTGGTCTCGCTGTTTCGCAGATTTTTAGAATTTTTTTGTTTTGTGCAATTTTGCATGCCTTTTGTTTTTAGTGTATGAACACGTATTGTGTTCCTCCCGCTGTGTCCTGATTGGCTGAGGGACTCCTGTCTCCTGTACAGTACAGAATGTGTTCAGCTGCCAAATTTAAATAAATGTTCAATCTGTATCAGTGTGCTTCTGAAGTGCTGTATGTCTGCAAGTTTTCTCTTCGACAAAATCCACAACGTCGACAAAACGTTCTGCACCGACAAAGTCTCCTGCGCTCACACCCAAAAGACAGAGGACGATGCAAACCATCACACAAAAAGTTGGACTTCTGGACACGTTGAAGGAAGGTAGAAGTTACGCGCTGTAACAGAGTTTTGCACCGGGTCTTGTACCCGCAAATAGTTGCTGAAATCAGGACCGTGAGCCCGAGCAGCAGGGTCCATAAAGAGCGATCGGGTGACAGACGCTCTTACCTCCATGAGGTGCGGAGCAGAGCCGCTCCTTTCTCCTGCGTCACCTTCGAGCCCGTCCCTACAGTGAGTCATGTTTTAGTCCTAGTTCAGTCCTGGTTTAGTCCTCCTCTTCAGTCCTGGAATCAGTCTGAGGTTAGTCCTGTTATAGTCCTGGTTTAGTCCTGGTTCAGCTCTGGTTTAGTCCTGGTTTAGACCTGGTTTAGTCCTGGTTCAGTCCATATACGGCTCAAAAGTTCAGCTTTTTCGCAGTTATTTTGGTGAGAGTAACTTAAAGTAATGTAATAGTAATGTAATGCCTTACATTTTAAATGCAGTAATATTGTAATGTAACGAATTACTTTGAAATGACAGTAATAAGTAATAAATAACACATTACAGTTTTAAAGTAACTTGCCCAACAGTGCTGATAAACGTGGACGATGCAGACGGTGTAAGAATGACGACACACAAACGACCTGCCAGAAGTGCAAAGTACTTTTGTGCTTTACAAAGGATAAAAATTGTTTCTCTGAGCACCACTCGAAAAAGTGATGTTGTTCTGCCGCTGTAAAACTGTTACACTGAGCTTTATGTTTTCATTGTTATAAAAAGTGGTATTACAAATAAAGTGAGTGTTCATATCATTTTAAGTCTTCAATGTTAATTTACCACACGGGACCAAATCTGCAACACCCCAAAACACACTGGATCTCAAAAAAAAAAGTCAGGATTGTATTTTACTACCCCATATGATCATTTTCCCCAAATATCAGATTTTTCCTGTTACTAAAACTTAATTTGAGGCTGAGAGGCTTAAGCTCTTCCTCTCCTCAAACTGCCCTGACACAGATCTGCTGACCCTCCCTGACCAGTCCTCCTGACAAACTGACCTCAGACCTTTGACTGAGACACAAAGGAACTGAGAAGTGCAGTCGAAATGTTGTTGCAGCAAAACTTGAATTTCCCTCAGTATCAGCACAGTATCACTCTCTCTTTCTCCCTGCATTAACAAACTAAATAATAACTGGAAAAGGCTGAAACTGACCATGTGACACGTGGTACAGTTACCTGGTATTGGAGGAAGTTTGCAGTAGTTCAGAGAGTATCCTGCCCAGATCACCGAGGGCTGAGAGCCTTTAACAGGCCCAGACCTCAGCTGGCAAAAGCGTCCCCTGCCAAAAGAAAACACAGTGTACAGCAACACATCTCCAACCTCCAAACGAGTGTTCAAAACATCTCAGTCCAGGGGCCTCATTTATAAAAAACTGCGCATGTCGTAAGTTAGTGCGTACACCTGTAGCTACGACAGGCGTGCGCCACGTAAACTCCATATTTAGAAAACCCACCACACGCACCAAACCACGCAGTCTTTGCTTTATAAATCCCACCTGCAACTAGAATTTGCGCACGTAAACCCACGTCATGTCACACCCTCTCCACACCTCCACCTCACCAGAAAAGGAGCAGGTAAAGTGACTGGTGAATGAGATTTCCCTAAACATGAGCCGATAATCAGTGGGTTTGACCGAGACACGCGGGACAGAGGGAGGAGGACGCTCCACGCAGCATCACATGACCACCACAAAGACTTTATTAAAGAATAAATACAAAACTAAAAGTGACAACAATGACTCATCTGTTCATTTAATCATATTTCATAATATTTAGGCAGCACATCTTTGCAGTAAAGACCATGTTTTTTTTCGCTGTTTCAAGAGTTTTATCGCTATATTTTTAAGTCTGTCTATGAATGTGTGTGTGGACTGGTCCTGTATATTTATGCATTTACACGTAGATACGTGCACGCGCTGATCTGGTCAAATTATGAGCACGTGCGAGAGATTCAGATGCCCTCCCCTGGAGAGGGAAAGGAGCGAGGGAAGGACACGAGGACACAGATTTAGCACGAAACACATCAGATACAGATGTTATTCTGCCAATTAAAGTCCACACGAAACATCCAAACTGCTGAACTGAGTGTGGTCTGTGGTGTGGGTTGGGTCTGTGAGTGTGGGTCTGGGTCTGTGAGTGTGGGTCTGTGAGTGTGGGTCTGTGAGTGTGGGTCTGGGTCTGTGAGTGTGGGTCTGTGAGTGTGGGTCTGTGAGTGTGGGTCTGTGAGTGTGGGTCTGGGTCTGTGAGTGTGGGTCTGTGAGTGTGGGTCTGGGTTGTGGTGTGGGTCTGTGAGTGTGGGTCTGTGGGTGTGAGTGTGGGTCTGTGAGTGTGGGTCTGTGTCTGTGAGTGTGGGTGTGTGGGTCTGTGAGTGTGGGTGTGAGTGTGGGTCTGTGAGTGTGGGGGGTCTGTGAGTGTGGGTCTGTGAGTGTGGGTCTGTGAGTGTGGGTCTGTGAGTGTGGGTCTGGGTCGGGATGTTTTGTCTTGGATAAACATACGTGAAAATGAAGTAAACACATCTGGGGTTGGCGGTGCACTTGCCCTGGCAGGTCTGAGCGGTCTGGCCGTAGATGAGGTTTCCAACAGGCCGTCCCCCGTAGATTTCCCGCTTAAGAATCCTGCGGTCGCACCCTGAAAAGAAAAGAAGTAACAGACCTGACATTCACAGAGAAACCGGCCTTTCATCCACACGTTGACTTTTTAAGCCCCAAAAACACCGTCACCGTCTTAAACGAAAGGAGTTTACGATAAAATATTCTGTCGGTCCTGGTTCAGTCCTGGTTTAGTCCTGGTTTAGTCTTGTTTTAGTCCTGGTTCAGTCCTGGTTTAGTCCTGGTTCAGTTCTGGTTTAGTCCTGGTTCAGTCCTGGTTCAATCCCGTTTTAGTCCCATTTCAGTCCCGGTTTAGTCCTGGTTTAGTACTGCTTCAGTCCTGTTTTAGTCCTGGTTCAGTCCTGGTTCAGTCCCGGTTCAGTCTTGTTTTAGTCCTGGTTCAGTCCTGGTTTAGTCCTGGTTCAGTTCTGGTTTAGTGCTGTTTTAGTCCAGTTTCAGTCCTGGCTCAGTCCTGGTTTAGTCCTAGTTCAGTCCTGGTTTAGTCCCGTTTTAGTCCCGTTTCAGTCCTGTTTTAATCCTGGTTTAGTCCTGGTTTAGTCCTGTTTCAGTCCTGGTTCAGTACTGTTTTAGTCTTGTTTTAGTCCGTTTAGTCCGGTTTAGTCCTGGTTTAGTACTGTTTCAGTCCTGTTTTACTCCTGGTTCAGTCCTGGTTTAGTCCTGGTTCAGTTCTGGTTTAGTGCTGTTTTAGTCCAGTTTCAGTCCTGGCTCAGTCCTGGTTTAGTCCCGTTTTAGTCCCGTTTCAGTCCTGTTTTAATCCTGGTTTAGTCTTGTTTTAGTCCTGTTTCAGTCCTGGTTCAGTCCTGTTTTAGTCCAGTTTCAGTCCTTATGTAGTCCTGGTGTAGTCCTGGTGTAGTACTGGTTCAATCCCGTTTTAGTCTCATTTCAGTCCTGGTTTAGTCCTTGTTTCATCCGTTTTTTTTTTTGCGTGTGTGTTGATGAAGTCCCAGTAGAGACACATGTAGAACACCCCCAGCGTGACGTCAGTACGGGGGGAGCAGGTTGTCGTACCTTGGGCGGAGCGGGCGCAGAGGCCGAGCAGCAGCAGCACGAGGACGAGGACGGGGCAGGTCTTCATGGCGACTCGGAGGAGCTTCAGGTCGTGGTCCGCGCTTTTATGCACCGACCTGATAAACGGTCACATTTACTTTACAGGCCTGAACACGGACAAGCCTGAAAAGTAAATGTACACGTGTGCTGTGGGAAAGGTTAAACAAAGAAAAACTAAAACAAAGAGCGTCTATGATAAGGTAAGAGAAAACTTTAGTATTATTATTATTATTATTATTATTATTATTATTTTATTGTCTCCCATGAGAGAAATTTGTCTGGGGTCAGAAGGTCACAGCTTTAACACAAAGACACGACAAATAAATAAATAAGAAACCAAGTATGAACACGTCCTGTTTTAGTCCTGTTTTAGTCCTGGTTTAGTCCTGGTTTAGTCCTGTTTAGTCCTGTTTTAGTCCTGGTTTAGTCCTGGTTTAGTCCTGTTTTAGTCCTGGTTTAGTCCTGGTTTGGTCCTGGTTTAGTCCTGGTTTGGTCCTGGTTTAGTCTTGGTTCGGTCCTGTTTTAGTCCTGGTTCAGTCCTAGTTTAGTCCTGTTTCAGTCCTGGTTCAGTCCTCTTTTAGTCCTGATTCAGTCCTGGTTTAGTCCTGATTCAGTCCTGGTTTAGTCCTGGTTTAGTCCTGGTTTAATCCTGGTTTAGTCCTGGTTTAGTCCTGGTTTAGTCCTGTTTTAGTCCTGGTTTTAGTCCTGGTTTAGTCCTGGTTTTAGTCCTGGTTTAGTCCTGTTTTAGTCCTGGTTTAGTCCTGGTTTAGTCCTGGTTTAGTCCTGGTTCAGTCCTGATTCAGTCCTGTTTTAGTCCTGGTTTAGTCCTGGTTTAGTCCTGGTTTAGTATGAACACGAGTGATGCACCAACAGAACCTTTAAGTGACTTTTGACAGACAAACCCTTGAAATGAATTGAGAAAAAGGAAACTGTCGGAACATGAACAGGATCAAATGTCATTTCCTCGTCACAAACAGACCTGGACTTGTGTTTTGTTTCATTCACATGTTTAACACAAAAACCTGCAGATTTAGGCTGAGTTCTTCTCAAACAGAAAACTCTGTTCCATCTTGTGATGTCATGTGGTGATACAGGAAGTGCTCCACTACAGGATTTCATCCCTGGACTTGCCAGTCTCTACACGACTAAACAAGGGGAGTCAGCGTTTCAGGTTCATGCAACTAAAACCTGGAACAGTTTTCCTGAACATGTGAGACAGACTCTTCTGTGACGCTGTTTAAATCCAGGCTCAGAACATTTCTGTTTGACTTTGGCTGCTGCACGAGGCCAACACTGTAAAATACACAAAAACATTTACATTACGGGAATATAAGTTTGCTCATAAAGGTCAATGTCTGATGAACTGTTTCTAACCTTCAGATGGAGGTTAAAGTCGACTGCAAACACGGCCTATAAAACCCCTCTCACAGTTTGGATCATGATTCTGCCTTTGAGATGAAGACCATGCAGTCGTCCATCTTCTTCCTGCTGCTTCTGGGTGTGTCCCTGGGTTTTGCTGCTCCACCTGAGCTCAGTGAAGTGCAGCTGGTGCAGGGGACCTGTCCCATGTCCTGGTTCAGCTTCAACGGTCACTGTTACAAGTATGTCTCCAATCAAACGACCTGGGCTGATGCAGAGATCTACTGTGTGTCTCAGAGCTCCAACCTGGTGTCCATCCACAGCCTGGAAGAACACAACTTTGTGAAGAGTTTAATTCAGAAGTTTGATCCCATTCTGGGACGAACTTGGATTGGACTCAGTGACATCCACAAAGAAGGAGCGTGGATGTGGTCTGATGGTTGTCCAGTGGTGTTTACGAAGTGGTTTCAGGGACAACCAGACAATGCAGGAGGAAATGAACACTGTGTGGAAATCTGTTATGGTCATCACAACACCTGGAATGATGTTCCTTGCTCAAATACCTATGCCTCTGTCTGTGCCACACGTAAACTTGGCTGTTAGAAATGATGCCACAAACCAACACCTGGACATGGACTTTACCTTCTGATTTGATGATGAGGTTCTACATTCTGAATGTTTGGTTCTGTGGGATACAAAACAGATTCTAATGTATGTAGACTGTAAGAGTTAAACACTGATCAAACAATGACTCTGATTACAAAACAAAATGTGACAGTTTATAGTTTTGTCATTGACTTGATCTGTGAATAAAAAAACTGGAGTCTGCTGCCACTTCGTCTTGTTTCACTGTAAAGTGTAATGTTCATCTGATACAATACGTATAATAAATGTGCAGTGAACATGTGACTGAAGTCAGACAGTCGGTGAACATAAAGAAAACTTCATACTTACACTTTTCTTACTTTTATGGAGGTCTCTTGCAAATGATATTTTTGTATCTGAAACATACAGAATAAAGCGCATTATTAGTACATTAGTGTGTAAAATAATAATTTTTAAAAAAGAAGAAATGCAAAAAAATAAATACATGGTTTAGTCCTGGTTCAGACCTGGTTTAGTCCTGGTTTAGTTCTCATTTAGTCCTTAAGTTTAGTCCTGGTTTAGAGGCGTGGTCCATGCAGTGTTTACAAGGCAAAAAAGGCTCCAAACTATGAGTCGGTTGTCAGAATGGTGACATAATTTACAGTGAACACACATGTAACCTGCACCAAACCAAAGTAAGATATGAATGACACGTGTTCCCAGGAATCTAGGTTCTAAAGGAGGAAAGAAGGTGGAATAAATTTGGACCGTAGGTTGAAATGAGAAAAGTGTACAACATTTTTTGAACAGAATCAATACTCTTCCTCAAATATGACCAGTTTACCCCGACATAAACCAGTCCTTTGTCCAACAATTTGTCCTTTCAAAACAAAAAGTTCAGCTCTGAAAAAACCTCTTGTGTCTCATCTACCCGGGTCGTATGATTTTTTGTTTCTTTCTTTCGTTGGTGCACAAGATCTTAGCTTAATTCAGCTGTTCTGCGATGAAGGCCAGGTCCACCAAGAAGAGACGTCCAGGCGTCCAGCAGGTCCTCAGGTCCTGGATCCAGTGACTCCAGTCTCACAGTGAACAGTCCCAGGTCAAATCAGGTCAACAAAAAAACCAACCTGCATAAACAGGGCAACATTAATACAATTTTCGCAAAGCACAAATTCAGATCTGGTTCAAATCATTTCAAACTACTTCACGACAAATAAATAAATAAGAAACCAAGTATGAACACGTCCTGTTTTAGTCCTGGTTCAGTCCTGGTTCAGTCCTGGTTCAGTCCTGGTTTAGTCCTGGTTTAGTCCTGGTTCAGTCCTAGTTTAGTCCTGTTTTAGTCCTGGTTTGGTCCTGGTTTAGTCCTGGATCAGTCCTTTTTTAGTCCTGATTCAGTCCTGGTTTAGTCCTGGTTCAGTCCTAGTTTAGTCCTGGTTTAGTCCTGGTTCAGTCCTAGTTTAGTCCTGCTTTAGTCCTGGTTTAGTCCTGGTTTTAGTCCTGGTTTAGTCCTGTTTTAGTCCTGTTTTAGTCCTGGTTTAGTTCTGGTTTAGTCCTGGTTTAGTCCTGGTTCAGTTCTGGTTCAGTTCTGGTTTAGTCCTGTTTTAGTCCTGTTTTAGTCCTGGTTCAGTTCTGGTTTAGTCCTGGTTTAGTCCTGTTTTAGTCCTGGTTCAGTCTTGGTTCGGTCCTAGTTTAGTCCTGTTTTAGTCCTGGTATAGTCCTGGTTCAGTCCTAGTTTAGTCCTGGTTTAGTCCTGGTTTAGTCCTGGTTCAGTCCTAGTTTAGTTCTGGTTTAGTCCTGGTTTAGTCCTGTTTTAGTCCTGGTTTAGTCCTGGTTTAGTCCTGTTTTAGTCCTAGTTTAGTTCTGGTTTAGTCCTGGTTCAGTCCTAGTTTAGTCCTGTTTTAGTCCTGGTTTAGTCCTGGTTTAGTCCTGTTTTAGTCTTGGTTTAGTCCTGGTTTAGTCCTGGTTCAGTTCTGGTTTAGTCCTGGTTTAGTCCTGGTTTAGTTCTGGTTTAGTCCTGGTTTAGTCCTGGTTCAGTCCTGGTTTAGTCCTGGTTTAGTCCTGGTTCAGTCCTGTTTTAGTCCTGATTCAGTCCTGTTTTAGTCCTGGTTTAGTTCTGGTTCAGTTCTGGTTTAGTCCTGGTTTAGTCTTGTTTTAGTCCTGGTTTAGTCCTGGTTTAGTCCTGGTTCAGTCCTGGTTCAGTCCTAGTTTAGTCCTGGTTTAGTCCTGGTTCAGTCCTGGTTCAGTCCTGGTTCAGTCCCAGTTTAGTCCTGTTTTAGTCTTGGTTTAGTCCTGGTTCAGTCCTGGTTCAGTCCTAGTTTAGTTTAGTCCTGGTTTCAGTCCTAGTTTAGTCCTGTTTTAGTCTTGGTTCGGTCCTGTTTTAGTCCTGATTCAGTCCTGTTTTAGTCCTGGTTTAGTCCTGTTTTAGTCCTGATTCAGTCCTGTTTTAGTCCTGGTTTAGTCCTGATTCAGTCCTGGTTCAGTCCTGGTTCAGTCCCAGTTTCGTCCTGTTTTAGTCTTGGTTCGGTCCTGGTTCAGTCCTAGTTTAGTTCTGGTTTAGTCCTGGTTTAGTCCTGGTTTAGTCCTGGTTTAGTCCTGGTTTAGTCCTGGTTTAGTCCTGGTTTAGTCCTGGTTTAGTCCTGGTTTAGTCCTGGTTTAGTCTTGGTTTAGTCCTGGTTTAGTCCTGGTTTAGTCCTGGTTTAGTTTAGTCCTGGTTTTAGTCCTGGTTTAGTTCTGGTTTAGTCCTGGTTTAGTCCTGTTTAGTCCTGGTTTAGTCTGGTTTAGTCCTGGTTTAGTCCTGGTTTTAGTCCTGGTTTAGTCCTGGTTTAGTCCTGGTTAGTCCTGTTTAGTCCTGGTTAGTCCTGTTTTAGTCCTGGTTTAGTCCTGGTTTAGTCCTGGAGTCCTGGTTTAGTCCTGGTTTAGTCCTGGTTTAGTCCTGGTTTAGTCCTGGTTTAGTCCTGGTTCAGTCCCAGTTTCGTCTGGTTTAGTCCTGGTTCGGTCTGGTTTAGTCCTGGTTTAGTCCTGGTTTAGTCCTGGTTTAGTCCTGGTTTAGTCCTGGTTTAGTCCTGGTTTAGTCCTGGTTTAGTCCTGGTTTAGTCCTGGTTTAGTCCTGGTTCAGTCCTGGTTTAGTCCTGGTTTACTACTGGTTTAGTCCTGGTTTAGTCCTGGTTTAGTCCTGGTTTAGTCCTGGTTTAGTCCTGGTTTAGTCCTGGTTTAGAGTCCTGGTTTAGTCCTGTTTAGTCCTGGTTTAGTCCTGGTTTAGTCCTGGTTTAGTCCTGGTTTAGTCCTGGTTTAGTCCTGGTTTAGTCCTGGTTTAGTCCTGGTTTAGTCCTGGTTTAGTCCTGGTTTAGTATGAACTCGAGTGATGCACCAACAGAACCTTTAAGTGACTCTTGACACACAAACCCTTTACAATCTGATCTTCTACTGATTCACATGAGGGTCAGTCACACACCCATTAAAGGGCCCATCCTGCTCTATGTTCTGATAAATAAAAAAATAAAAACAAAGAAAAAGCCTGGACTCATTAATACAATTTTCGCAAAGCACAAATTCAGATGTGGTTCAAATCATTTCAAACTACTTCTACCTGGACGACAGCAGCTCGTAGGTGTTTTACACAATGTGCAGTTTTCAACACGCGGCACATGGACGTGTAACAACCCTAAAAATCTGTTTCTGTATATAACTTCTGATTTGTACATAGTTATATATTTCTCCAGTTGTTTTTTTTATACATTCTCTAAATCATGTAAATAATAAATGGTCATTGCATCATGTAGTTAAGTCAAGGTTTTTGTTTCTTATCACGGACAAGCCTGAAAAGTAAATGTACACGTGTGCTGTGGGAAAGGTTAAACAAAGAAAAACTAAAACAAAGAGCGTCTATGATAAGGTAAGAGAAAACTTTAGTATTATTATTATTATTATTATTATTATTATTATTATTGTCTCCCATGAGAGAAATTTGTCTGGGGTCAGAAGGTCACAGCTTTAACACAAAGACACGACAAATAAATAAATAAGAAACCAAGTATGAACACGTCCTGTTTTAGTCCTGGTTTAGTCCTGGTTCAGTCCTAGTTTAGTCTTGGTTCAGTCCTGGTTCAGTCCTAGTTTAGTCCTGGTTTAGTCCTGGTTCAGTCCTAGTTTAGTCCTGTTTTAGTCCTGGTTCAGTCCTAGTTTAGTCCTGTTTTAGTCCTGGTTCAGTCCTAGTTTAGTCCTGTTTTAGTCCTGGTTCAGTCCTAGTTTAGTCCTGTTTTAGTCCTGGTTCAGTCCTAGTCCAAGGGGAAAGACAGGAAATAAGCACGTGGTGTCAAAATAAACTTCTGATGCCCTTTCAAAATACATTCTGTAAAACCACTACAGTCGTGTAAACACCGAGCGTCGCATCAGGAGCTCGGGGAACGACTCGTGATGAACTACAGAAAGTTTACAGCCGTGGAGGATAAATATAAAACACTTTACGACATCAGACAGAAACTTTATAAGAACGACTCCTGAAGGAAAAGGCGCGAGGAGCAACGACCAAAGTGAAATGGAGAGGAGCTTCTTTAATGCAGCTCCACAGATACGACTCGTTATCGCCGCAAAACATCGACTTTTGTTTTGTGATTTAAACATAATTCATCCGATCAACAATGAAAATATAAACAATGTAAAAAGTTGAGTGTTTAAACGTGAGAATCGTCAGAGGCTGGAGTCACAGGAGCAGATCTGTGTCTCTGGTGTAAACTGAAGTTTGCAGCTCTGCCTACGTGACGCGTCGCTGACAGTGTTGGGGAGTAACAGATTACATGTACCGCCGTTACGTAATCAGAGTACAAATTGATGAGTAACTGTATTCCGTTACAGTTACTGTTTCAATGAGTGGTAATTGGATTACAGTTACTTTGCTGAAATAAGTGGATTACAAGGTGGTATTTTCCTGTTTTCACATTTTGTGCTACATCCCATTTATTTATTTTTTTATTTCGGTAATTTCACTCATTGCCGGAAACACAAACAGAACACGCGCAATAAGAGCGATGTAAACGTCATGTTAAAGTTGGCGGTGTCAGTCACACAGTGGAAGCAGCAGTGCATTGGTAAAAACGCATTTGTGTCTTGGAAATTCTTCTCCCGATGTGAGATTTTATATATATATATATAAAAAAAAAACAAATATAAAATCACCTACAACTTAAATGTGAAACAGGAGCTACTGGCACCGGTGAAAACAACCTGCATAGACTCAAAATATCTGCACT